TTATATTTCTTTAATATAAATTATAAATATTTTATATAATAAAAATATTATGCATGACATAATTTAGTATTTTATATTTATAAAATGTCTCTGTTTATTATAAATGTATGTTTATTACAAAAAAATATAATTATCGATTAAAATGTATCTTGAATTAAAAAAATATATATATCATTTTTTATTTGAGAAAATTCAGGTTTGTACCGTTAAAATTTATTATTCCACTGTATTTTCCTGTTTTACAAATATATTTTTTAATTTATTCTATAAGTGCAAAAGATATTTTTTTACTAAAAATATTTTAGTTTTTTTTAAAAAAAATTAAGCTAAACATTGAAAGTTGTATTATAATTTTACTTTTAAATTATAAATGTTACATATATGAAGAAAAACAAAAATATAGTAGCTTTTTAATTTTAAACGTATATATAAAGAAATTGTAACTGTTATTTTTTTTTAAAATCTATTTAAAGAAAAAAAGGAATATACAATTCTTTTTCAAGTATATTTTTAAATTATTATATATATATTTTTTTTTTTTTATTTTAAGATTTACATTAGTCAATTTATGTTAGATGGAAAACAGGAAATATGTTCTTTAATTTTGTTTTCTTATTCTCTATTTTTCTTAATGTTATTTTGCATTTTACATGAAAAAAAAAAAAATAAATGAAATGGAGATATATTTAAAAAATTATAATCTTTTATTAATTATAAAAATAAATAATATGAATGAATTTGTTTATTTTTTGTGTAAAAATATTCAAGTCAACAGAGTATGTATTAATATACACAAAAAATATATATTATTCAATTTTTTATATTGAAATATTTTTTCTACCTTTTAAACATGCTAAAATATATATATACATATATATGTAATAATTTTGTTTTTACTCTACTAATCTTTTAAAATATAAAGAATAAAAAGACTCTTATTTATTTATTTTTTTTTTTCTTACTTGATATTCTTATCCTTTAGAATAATGAAATGTAAAATTTAATTAAAAATTATCGGTGGTTTATAAAAATAATAATATAGAAATATTTGAAGATGTAAGTTTTTAAAAACAAAATTTTCTTAAGAATCTTTAAAAGAAAAATAAAACTTAAGAACTTATTTAATTAAATATATTAAAATACAAAATAATATAAAACCTTGATAGCCATACACTTTTTTTTATCTATTTTAACTTGGTATTTTTTTAAAAATAAAGTGCTATTATATATTAATAATCATAAAATATTTTAGACAAAACTTAAAATTTTTCGATGTAAAAAAATATGCATATATAAAAAATTTTCACAAAAATGTAACCGTCTTTTTTATAACTTTAAAATAAACAGAAATGTTGCTGTTGACATATATATATATTAAAAATATATTTTAAGAAGTAAAAAATTGAAATCTATAAATTTTTATAATTTTTAACTATTTCCTCTTCAAGATTATATATATTAATTATTTCATATATTTTCTTATTAAAGAAAAAAATAATACCTTTTATTTAATTAAAATCCTTAAAATTAAATAATATTTTTACTAAGGTATATTACCTAAATATTCTTTTTTATTAAAAACATTGATTTTTTTTGAATAAGTGAAAAACTCCTTAAAATGGTTACTAAAATTGTTAGTAAATGATTCAATGAAATTTAGTTAAATATTTTTTAGAGAACTAAATCATAAAAGAAATCCCTTAAAAGTGAATTTTATTTAATCTCTCTTCCTTTTTAAAATTTTTATATTTTACTGAAAAGGAAATAAGTAAAAAATAAAATGAGGGTTGGTTTTTTTAATCCTTTCAATCTTTTACGCAATAAAAAAAAATACATTTTAATATAAATATATTCAAAACACATAACTTGGTTAAAAAAATAAAGAAAATTAAATTCTTTTTTTAATGATCACATATATTACTTAAATAAAAATTTTCTTAACATGATTAAAAAAAAAATTTTTTAATTTTTGATTTTATATTACTTAAAACATTGTATATAATAGAAATAACAAAGGTGGAAAAAAGAATGTTTTATATATATATTATTTTTGTTATTATTACATATTTGAGTGAAAAAAAATTGATTCTTTAAAAATTGTAATGGCATAATCATTTCATGAAATATGCCACGGGCAAAAATTTTGCTGTTAGCACCCTCCATATGGAGAGTCTATAGCTCATCACAGTCAGCTGAGTGCAATGCTCTGCTCCGAGCTACGTCAGGGTAATGCGTGAGCTACCCCAAACGCCAGCCAGGTAAGTTAAATAAAAAATATATTATTTTTTTACTGTGTTATTTTTTACATACTAAAATTGTACTTCATAAATTTTTATTAATTTTTAAGTTAATTTTATTTTTTTTTTTACTTTAAATGACATTTAAAAATAATTTTTACATATATTTTTTTTAATATAATCTTCAATTTTCATTTACAAAATTACCATTTTTATTTATTATTAATGATTTTTTAATTTTTTTTTTAAGTTTTTTATATATTTATAATATGTGATTATACAAGGTTATATGGTTTGTTTAAAACTAAATTTTATTCTCTATTTAAAAAAAAAAAAAAAAAAAAAAAAAAAAAGTAAATAAAAATAAGAATAAATAATATATAATTATTCTTAGAAATTTATTTAATATTATATAAATAAAATAATAGAAGATAACAAAAAAAAAAAAGCTTATGTTGATCTCCTATAAAAAAACCATAAATCAACAAAAAAATACTTTTCCAATGATTATTAACAAAGGCATATTTTTAGAATTTTATATATTTTTATAACTTCTCTTTTTTATTTTTTTTGTTAAAAGTTTTTTATGTTGTTGAATAAAATATAATTAAATTTCATTTTTTGTTTAAGGTTAAAAAATAGTATGGTTCTCTTAGAGTTTAATTACACATTTTGTAAAAAATAATTACAAAATATTATTATAATTTTCTTAAGAAAATAAAAAAACCTTTTTAATATATATTTTTTTTTAAAGTTAGTAATTTGAGTTAAAATCAAGGTATAAGGATTTAGTTGCTATTTAACCTTTCATTCTTAAGTACTATATGAAAATTTCAGGATGTTATAAAGAATTTTTTGTTTTTTTTTTTTTTTTTTATAAAATTATATTTTTAATTATATTAGTAATTTAATATGGAAGAAAATATAGAAGAAATATTTAATGATTTTATTGGTCATTTAAATGGTAAAACCGAAGAATATACGAGTGAAGGAAAAGATATAAATACAATAAAAACAGATGAAATAAATTTTTTAGACGATAATATTTTCAATACATTAGGAAACAACTTTTTTAGATATACTGAGTATTCATTGAGTAGCTTATATATATGTGAAGAAAATATCCCAATTGAAGAAGATATAAATTTTAAAACATTATTAAATATAATAACGAAAGCATCTGATGTTAATAATAAATTCAAATGGGTAGATTATTATTTTAAATATGATTCAAAAGAAGAATTGAATATTTTATCTCCAAAATCACAAAACAAAGAGCTACTATTCAGAGAATATCTAGATCCATACCATTTAAAAAATGTATGCTTATTGAGAAAATTTGAGCAAGGTGCAATTTTAAAATCATCCGAAAAAAATAAAGTGGATGTTAAAATAGTATCAGAATACAATGTTCACAGTAGTTATAAAAATGTAATTAGATCATTTGATTATTATTTAAACCATAAAATATTTACTCAAGCAGATATATTTCATAATAAATATGGTAATAGTGATCATATTGTTATTTTAGTGTTAAGACATTATAAAGATGAAAATTTTCAATTTCCATTGTTTCCAGATAGAGTTCTTGTTCAAATAAAATCATACTCTAATGATAATAAATACTCAGAGATGACTCAAAAAAATCTTTTACATTACTCAGAAATTTTTAAACCTTATATTTCTCTTAGAAAAGTAAATTATAATCTTGTAGAAGAAATAAAAAATAAGATTACTTATACAATTTAAAAAAAAAAAATATTTTAAGTTATATATGGGAATTTTTTATTTTTAAGAATATATATTTTGGTTTTAACTATTCTATTAATTTTTTCGTATATTAAAATATTTGTTTTTCTATTTTATTTTATGATATATACATATGAACTACATCAAATTTTTATAAAACTATTTTTCATTTTTAGATTAATATATTTTTTTTTTTATTAATTGCTTATTTATATTAAGAAGTTACAAATATTTATCAAAACGATTTTCTTTAATATAGCTTAAATAGTAAATTATAATGAGATCTATTAATAATATGTTAATATAATTACTATTTATGCATATTAAACAAAAAAATTGTGCTTTACTTTTCAATTTCAGTTAACAAATTACTTTCAAATTTATTATTAATTTCCACTGGCATTGTATTTATTTCAATATTAGAATATGATTTAGATGCATTCAAATTTTCCTTTATATCATTTTTTTCACATTCATCTTCCGAACATTCGAATTGATTACATAATTCAAATATATCCCTAAAAATAAATTTAAAAAGATTTATAATTTAGATTTTATCTTTAATACATATTGTTGAACCTTTTAAAATGAGATATTTTTTTTTCTTTTAATTTTTACTTTTATTTTAGATAATACCGTTCTTCTATACCATTTTTCCAAAAGATATATGAATTATCAACGTCAGATAATGTAGAATTAGAAAATACGTCATCTTCTTCATATATAACAATTTCATCTTTTTTATATGTTTTTATATTTATTTTATCAGACTTTTCTTTTTCGTATGCCATAATTTACTTCGTACAATTAATATTAAAAATTTAAATTATGATGTAATTTTGAATAAATTATGCACACTTGATAAAATAATTAATTCTGTATTATTTTTAAAAAATAAAAATATATTTTTAAATATCATTAACTAATATTATAACATTATTCATAATTTTTTCACTGTTAAAGAAAATTATATATCAAATTTACAGAAGTTATATAAAAATCTTATTTTTCTTTGTAAAATATTTATATACTTTATTCATTAAAAATATTATGCCATATAGGTATTTTGCTTATCTATCAAAAAAAAGTCAAATTCTAATAAAATTTTTTTTTTAGTTTCATAAAATAGAAAAAAAAAAAAATTTAAATATATTTTTACAGAAAATAGATATGAAATTTAATGGAATAAAAAATTAAAAAAATTTTGCAAATATTAGTATTTTTTTTTTTTTAAGAATTAAATTTTTTTATAAGTGAAATTATAATTTTTTTTTTATGAGGAAAAATATTTAACAAAAAATATTCCTTGTCTATTTACATTTTTTCCAAACGTTATGTTTTTTTAAAAAAATATAGAAATATATAATTCCATTAAATATATTTATATATCTATAGATTAATGAAAATTATATTTATAAATAATATATTTCAGTTCACTGACATAACAAAAATATAAACAGAAGAAAAAAGAAAAAAACGTAATTCATACAAAAAAAAAGTAATAATTGTTATTCAGAAAAAATAAGTAAGGTCATTTAAATAAAAAAAAAAAAAAAATAATAAATTAAAGATACAAAAGATATAATTAATAAAAAGAAGAAAAAAAGACATTTTTGAAGTAATGAAAAATTTTATAGTTATTAGATCTAGAAGATATAAAAAATAAATTAAAAAAATGACATTATAATGAAAATCAAGATTAATATTGAGAAGCAAATAATGGTAGTTATAAATTAAAATTTTAAATTTAATAATGATAAAAAGTCTAAATAAATATATAAATATAAATAAATATGTGAAGTTGAATGGATTTTATTTAATTATTTGATTTTCTTTACAACCTATGTTTTTGTCTTTTTTGTACTTATATTGATAATATATATATATTTTGTTTAATTTAATTTTCTAAGTTAGTTATTTGGTCTCTAACTTCATTTAAGGTATCTATGCGTTTAGTTAAATTTTCTATATTTATTTGAATTTCATTTTCTGTATTTTCATGATCTGAATTCTTTTTTTTTAGGAGAGTTAATTCTTTGTTAATATTATCTATGTTATCTCTAATTATTTGTATGCTATTTGTTAAAGCTTCAAATATAATTTTAAAATCTTTTATGTCTAAACTGAAGGACTGAATAATTTTTTGTATCTCTGATACATTATTAGCAGTTTCTTCTGATTCGCTTTTTACATCAAGTAGATAATTTGATAATCTGTTTATTTCATTTCTCATGGACATAATTGAAACAATTGTGCACAATGGTGCAAACCTACACACATAAGAAGTAGGCTCATTGTTAGAATTCTTTCCACCAAATAGAAAAAAAGCCTTAGTTTGTGCATGCAAATTTAAAGTACCATAATCATAGCAGCATTGAATCTCTTTCGATGATATTTGGCAATTAAACCAACAATTAGATGGTATGTCATAGACATATAAATCGGGAACAGTATAATTGGAAAACCATCCAGAAAAAAGACCACCAGATATCCACATCTTTTTATCGAAAATTACTGCACCGTGCTTCCATCTTGGACAAGGAGCTTCTCCAGCAGAATTATTTACTAATATCCAATTTTCTTTTTTGAAATTATAAATCCACAATTCATCTGTTGGAGTTCCTCTGTTTGTCAAATCTCCACCAAATAAATAAAGAAAACTATAATTCACATTATCTTTTGTTGTTCTATCTAACCATACTATAGAAGAAAAAACTCTACCAGAAGGTGTATTACCGTTGCACTTAATTTCAGACCACTCTCCCCTAATAAATTTATGCCCACTTTTTAATAATTCATTATTTTTATTTATTCCTCCCCAAATAATTGTTGTATAAGTGTCTGGGCAAAAGGTATAAGCATGACCATATCTTGTTTCTGGAACTAAATCTAATTTAAAAGGATGCATAGACCATCTATCTTCAATAAAGTCATATATGAAACATTCTTTTGCTAGTATATTAGGTCCACATAATCCTCCAAATAATAATAAACATGGACCATTCTTAACATTATATGCTAATGTCATCGATGCATACGCCCTTTTTCCTGGGTTTACACTTAATTTTTTGGAAGTAAATACATTACTACCATATGTAAACGTTAAGAATTCATTTAAATACTCATTCATTGAATTAATTCCACCATAAATATAAAATTTATTGTCATATTCTACTATAGAATGCCCATATTTTTTAGTAAAAACCTTATTATCATGATAAATGTGAGATAAAAAAAATTCTGGTGGAGATATAACACAGTCTGCTACTCTTCCATTTGGTGTTGCATTGTGTTTTCCATCAACTTTTACTTTTGAAGAGTTAAAAAGATGATGCCTAAATATTTTTGAATCTTGATTATTTAATGTATTGTCATCTTGTGAACTTTTTTTTTTATTTACAGTTTTGGAAGACTTAAATGTACTTGACATTTGATTAGATAAATTTCCATTTTCATTGTATTGCTCATCATTACTTAAGCTATTATTTTTACTTAATGTCTCAGTTTTTTCTGTAAGATTTTTTTTTGAAGTAGTTGAGTTCTTTGATCTGATAGTAAAAAATTTTCTTCTTTTTTCTTTTCCGTCAAATTCTTCGCTTTCAGAAAAATCAGATATATCTGACATTTTTTTTTTTTTTTTTTTTATTAAGTTTCTTTTATATTAATTATGTAAAATAGTTTTTTTATTTCTCTTTTTTTTCTATTTTATATTATAATAAATTAAAATGAATATTGTTACAAATTTTTCATTTTTATGAGTTTTTATCCAATTTCTCATTTAATGATAATATTAAGCATGTTGGATGACTGTAAAATAGTAATTCACATACTTCTTTTTATATTAATTTGTACATTTATATATACCTTTTAATGCTTATATGTGTTTTTTTATTTATAAATTGTTTTTTCTTATGATTCGTACAGGTTGTAAAAAAAAAAACTTTATCTTTTATTTTTTCGTGGTCTCTTAATATTTAGTAATAAATAACAAGAATTTTTTTTTGTAAAAAAAAAAAAGACAAAACAAAATTTGTGTAAAAATATCAATATATAGGTGAATAAATATAATATTTTTTTTTTTAAAAAAAAAAAAAAAATATTTTGTAACTTTTTGGAGGTATCCACAAAAAAATGAGTATTATTAATATTACATATATAACAATAACATGCTAAAATACAATTATTAATATAAAAAATATTTTAAGATTAGTATTTGAAACAGTTCAATTATCTATATATACTTAATATAAAGAAAAAAATAAAACTTTGAAAAAAATATAAGTAGCTAGCTGTTATATCTGAATTTTATTTTGTTCTGTTTGGTTTCTTTTTTAATTTTTTTTTTTTGCAACATACAAAAAAAAAAAAAAAACAAAAAAAAAATAAAAGACAAATACACAATTATATATATTTATGTGTATATATGTTATTAATGCATTATTTTTAATTATTTCATTTATCATATTTTAAAAGATAAATTTCTATATTTTACATAAATAAATTATGGAGTTAAAATATAAAAATTCACTTAAATGTATAATCTTAAATTTAAAATGAGATAAAATGAATGTAAAATTATAAATATTAAAATGAATATGTTCATGAAAACAAGTTGAAATAAATATATAATTCAAAATATATATAGACAATATAAAAAAAAATATATTTAAAAAAAAGTTAAAATATTAACTATGTCTTTAAATACGTATAAAAGGAGTTCTTAAGTTATTTATAGTAGTTTAAAATTTATTGTTTTAAGAGACATTCGAGTGAATAAAAGATTTTTTATATTTATACAAATTAAAATATGTGATAAATGAGTATAATAACATTTCACTTTTATTCTTTAATGAAAACACAAAAGTGTAAAATTTTATTAAAATTATATAAGAAATTAATTACACATAATTAGCACCTGCTAAAATGTGTGCTTAAAAATTGTGTCATAATATTTATTATAGGATTTTTAACCATGCATATTTTTTTTTTCAAGAGAAAGTTTTTATAAATAACAAAAATAATGTATTTATGCTCAGATTTTTTTTTTTTTTTTTTTTACCTTACTTTGGTTCTTTTTTATATATCACTTTTTATTAATTTTCCACTTTTTTTTTTTTTTTTAAATTTTAGTAGTGTCACTATATTATGTTGTACATGAACTTTCTTTTTTTTAATTTATTAGTTAAATTTACAAATTTAATTGTTTTATTGCCATCCATTGTTCTTATAATATTTCATAGTACCACACACTATCTCCATTACAGAAAATTTAAGAATATTAAAAAAAATATGTTGTATTTGAATTAAGTTCTGATTATAAAATAAAGAAAATATATTTCACTAATTTATTAATTTAATGGATACTTATAATTTTATATTTAAAATAATATAGAATTACATTTATCTAATTAATTTTCTCTTTATGTTTTTTTGTTTTATATTATCTTGTTTTTAAGTGGCTCTTACTTTAATTTTTTTGAATTTTTTTTTTTTCTTTCTATAAATTTTACACTTGTTTTTTAATGTTAAAATATAATTTTTTTTACATCTCTTATAACCATTATGATGGAAACATATATATGTAAATTTTTATAAATGGTATTATAACTATTTTCTTAAACTTAAAAACATATATATATATATATTTTTATATATATTTCTTTTTAAAATAATATGTCTAAAAAGGAGAAACATTCTAAAAATTGTTTCCATTTTAATTCGTTTAATGTAAAATTTTTTATATTATAAATATAAAAATTAGCTTAAATAGAAACTTAAGTTGTACGAATAAGTGATAAAAATATTAAAGAATAAAAGTAAAATAAAATAAATAAAAAAGAAAGAATCAAAAATAAACATTAAGAGAAACTTTAAAAGGAAAAGAAATAACTAAAATATTGTAAGCGTAAAGAAAAAATATTCCTAATAAATATTCGAAATATTTCAATCAAATGTGGAAAGTAATAAAAAATATGACAAAAAAAGTAAATTGTCTTTTTTATTTTTGGATTTTAACTTTTTTTATAGTACATACTGAAGTGAAAAGTAAAGTGTTCCATGGAACTTTTAATATAAAAAAAAACAAAAAAATTCATTATTTAACAAAGTTTAGCTGCAATATAGGAACTTGTCAGTTCAAAATTAAAATGAAACTTAAAGACAATATATATGCAAAATTACTTCATAATTATTATAAACTTAATAATATACTACTAAATGATGAGAGAAATAATGCAAATAATAATTTGTTTAATATGAATTATGATAATGCTTACTATGTATTAATGAATAATAATTTAGAGTTTATTCCTCAAAGAATAACATTAATGTTAGATATTGAACAAAGATACGTAAATAAAAATGATAAGTGTTTTTCCCTTGGAAAACTAAGAAATGTGAATAATTTCAACCTACCTTTTAATTTTAAGTTCTCTGATTTAATTAATAGTAAAACATATGATAACTTAAATTTTATAAATGATAAATATTCTATATCGTTCAACAAATTTTATAGTGAATTAAAGAGTAATAAATTAATGCAAAAAGAAATTTTAAATTATACGTCTTCAAAAAATGAAAAAAATATGAAGTATGAATATAAAAATATTTCTGCCAAAACAACACATCGTGTTCACGTTTGGTTTTTAATGTATGATGATTGTTATGATAGCTTTATTAATAATTTGAAGTTAAGTATAAAAACTAAAGTAGCTTATTGGGAGTATTTATTACATGCGTCAAAACATAATGATATTTCAAGTCTAGAACAAGCAATGCCAGATGATGACACAAAATTCTACGACTCAAATAATTTTGATAAAAAAACACTTGTGGAAGATCCTAAAAGACTTTTATTTTTAGAAAAAAACTTTACTAAAGAGGAGATAGGAGATATGTCTTTCTTTATTAAGCATCATGATTTTGAGAATATGAGAGGTTTTACTGATATGTATAATAGTTTATATAAAAGTGGGGTTTATGAAAAAATAATTGATCATATATATGAAAATTATGGGTTTACTGTTGAATATGAAGTTAGTATATTTCAAGAAAACAAATCTCATTTTTCATATGAATTACAGTATTCTACCATTCTTACTTTTATTTTAACTACTTTATATATATTTTTAATTTTTCAATATGGTGGTAAAATTATTCAAAATGTTATATCAAAAGAAAATAAACATGGAATGATTTTATGTGTAACTTTTGTAATATTAATACAACTATTATCAAATACTATTTTATTTATTCATTTATTGGTTTATTCAAAAGATGGTATTGGTATACAATTTTTTAAGGTTTTTTTTAATTTAATGAATTTTTTAGCTCAAATTATTATGTGTACTATGTTGCTTTCATTGAGTTATGGTTTAACTATTTTTGAATCAAGTATCAACACTTTCACAAAGATTAAAGTAATATTTACTTTTACCACATTTTTTCATGTAAGAAATATATTTTCAAAAAAAAATATATAAATATGAATATAGTATATATGTCACTAAACAATTTTAAAAATATTAGAATATACATATTAAATAACAATACAGTTATTTTATTTTTTAATAATGTTGTATTCTATTAAATAAATCATTGACTAAACATTATTTCATACAATTAGTTTTAAGTTTACTTCTCAAAGATTTCGTAAATATTATACTTAGTTTTTTCCTTTTTTATAGAAATAATTATAAATTATGTACTTTTAATCTTTTTTTTAATAATTCATTCATTATATAAATTAATATAAAGCATTATATTGCCATATTTGCTTTATTTTTTGTAGGTTATTTTAGTTATATTAGATAATACATTCATTATGGAATCTTCTTCAAAATATTTTGATAATGATAATATAACTGGTTATATAATAGTATTTTTAAGAATAATTTTAGCTATTATATATCATGTTAACCTAAATAATTTATTTTTAATGTCAAAGACTCCACCAATTCGTAGTTTTCTTAAAAAAATATACATATTTGGATTATTTTACATACTTTCATTTCCTATAATTTTTATGATATGCTATATATTTGATACATATTGGAGACAAAGATTCATGATGTTTGGAACATCTTTTTTACAGTTCATTTCTACCTATTTTATTACAAAAATGTTCTTAACCAATTCAGAATATTTTAAAGTTTCTGACATGTCAGCAAGTGATCTTCCTGGGGCAACACCTAGTTGGTTTAATCAAAAACTTCACGTATATTAATAAACTTTCTTTTAATATTTACTTTACTGTTTATCTTTTATATGCTTATTTTTTTTTTCATTTATTTTCATTTTACTATTTATATATATGTTCAGGCAAATTTTTTATTTTTTATTTATTTTTTTTTTTTTTTTTTTTTTTTTTTTTTTTTTTTTTTTTTTTTTAATAATTATTTTTTTATTATTTCATATGCTAAGATTTAAGAAATACAGAAAAAAAAATATAAAAAATTAAATAAAAATATAAAAAAATATAAAAAAAAAAATGTGAATGTTTTTCCATTTTAAAATTATGCTTTAATTTAAAAATATAGCATTTATTTTAAATTATTAATTAAAAAAGTGCTTATGAAATAAATTAAATGAAAATGCTAAAATTTATGTAGCATTCCAAAATTTAATTTTTATTTTATATTCACATTTTATTTAACTCATTTCTATTTATTATTATTTATAATAGTTTTTTTTTTTTTTTTTTTTTTTACATTATTATTACATTTAAGCTAAATTAAATATAGTTTTTGCATATAAAATTTGTAAGTCATTATTTATTTTTTATATTATATTTAAAGTTGACACAAAAAATGACTTAAATTCGAAACATTATTTCATTATTATTTAGACGTAGAAAATAAGTTAATCCTGAATTTTTTATATAATTATTTTAATGTATGTCATTATATACTATTATTTATATTATAAATATCTTGTAAAATTAACTAAAATTCATTGAAGACCAATAGGAAGTATTAAAATAGTAAAATATTTTTAAAAAATAGTAGTAGATTAAAATAGATAAGAAGAATAACAATAATTTATAATTAATTTTTTTTTTGTATAATTTTAAATATTTATATTATTTAAGAAAGCTATATAAATTAGAAAGGGAAAAAAGTAATAATAGGAAAAAATTTTTTTATATAATTCAGGTATATATCAATAAAGAAGTATTATAAAACTTGATGAAGATTATTTTAATTTCATATATATTATCACATTAATATTAATTTGTGGAAAATAAAAATAACTCTTTTATATTCTTAATTATTGTAGTAATATATTTTAATATTTATTTTTAAATTAATAATATATAAATTATATATATTTTTAAAAAAAGTAAAGAAACATATTTATAAAAATGGCAGATAGAAAAGCAAATAAAAATGCAGTTGTAAAAAATGTAGATATGACTGAAGAAATGCAAATTGATGCAATTGATTGTGCAAATCAAGCTTTACAAAAGTATAATGTTGAAAAAGACATTGCTGCTCACATTAAAAAAGAATTTGATAGAAAATATGATCCCACCTGGCATTGTGTAGTAGGAAGAAATTTTGGTTCATATGTTACTCATGAGACTAAAAACTTTATTTATTTTTATATTGGACAAGTAGCTATATTACTATTTAAATCTGGATAATTTTTTTTATTTTATGATGAATATCATATTTAATTTTTTATATTTTAAAGAAATTTATTTAAATTAAAAAAAAAAAAAAAAAAAAAATTTTATAGAAAAAATAAAAAGAAAAAAAAAAAAAAAAAACATAATTTTATAACAGAAAAAGAAATATAAATCCCAAAATCTTAAAAATGTCGAATATATTACTAAATACATAAAAAGTAAATAAAAAGAAATTTTATATATATAATGGGAAGTATAATAGTTCTTCATAATTGAATTGCTTTACTTTCTTTTTTTATTTATTTATATATATTAATATATTTATAAATAACCATTTATATATAAACATTCTTGTTTATATAGTTCTCTATTTAACTATCTATTTATATATATATATAGAATCATTTCCTTTTTTTTTTTATATGTTCCTTTAAGACAAAAATAATTTGAACTTATATACATTAATCCTTTAAATTTATTATTTTTAAATATATTATAAATAATTCAAAAAGGAAAAAAAATATTTTTTCATTTTTAATATTTGATTTATTTTAAAATATATTCAATATGGGAACATTAAAATCAAATTAAATAAAATTGGTAATAATTTATAATGTAATTAAATACATTTTCAAAAATAAATAAAAAAAAAAGAAAATAGATATTTATCTATATGCATATATATAATAATTTAAAAATGTATTATGCTAGGTATAAAATATAATAAGAGGTATGACATGGTTTAAAAAATATCGTTATGAATATATATATACATATATATGTTAAATTAAAAATAAAAATTTACACAAACAAAAATTAATGTGAAAAAATTAAGAATTTAAGTATATAATTTAATTTAAAAATAATTGTATTATATTTTAATAACTTTTTTGAAGAACATTAAAAGAAAATGAAAGTTAATGTATGATACTTCATCTATTCATTTTATTTATTTTTTAGGTATCATATTATTTGGCTCATAAAAAAACAAATTCTTAATTGTTTATTCTCTCGTCATTTCAATATCTACATTTTTTGTGAGTAAGTATATTTTCATATCTATTTCCAAATCTCCGATAAATTGTTTATCAGCAGTTAAGGCCATCATCAATCCACCAAATGAAGCATAAACAGTTCTATAAAAAAAAAGAATAAATATAAAGATAAAATTATTTTCGAATGCATTATATTTGTTATATATTTAGAATTTCATTTTACATAATTTATCATTAAAAAGATTTACTATTAAAAAAAATGAAAACTTATATAAATAATTTAATTTATTTTTTTTTAATTATGAATATTAGATTTTAAACCTTCTTTCGGATGATAATTCTTCAAATTTAAAAATTCTTCCACTCATAATGTATTCAATATTATTTAATGAAATATTTTCAGTTTGTTCCCATATTTTTTCATCGTTTTTCGTTAAAAATTTATCTTGAAGAGCCAAATAAATAGCCTAATAAAATTATACATAAGTATATTTATATAGTTTATATAATTCTATATATAAATAATATGATAAAATATATTACTTTTTTTTCTTCAACTTTAAATAATTCTGAATGAACATCAAGAATTAATTCTGCATCATAACCAGTACTTTTAGCTTTTATTCTGCTTACTTTTTCAAATTTTGAATTATCTACACTACTTATAACAAAACGATCTTCAAATAAAATGCTGGATGCCATAATTTTTATAGTTTTATATTAAAAATTCAAACAAATAGTTAATGTTTTTCAAAATAATCAAAATTTATAGAAAGGATTAATAATATAAAACTTATAAATATAAATAGAACATACCTATAAAAGAGAATTATAATAACTTAAAAAATACTCAAATATTAAGTAAAATAAAAAAATTTTATATTTTTTAAATAAATTGAAATATTAAAAAAAAATGAAAATTCCATCATACGTGTACATTAATAAATAAAAATTTAACAATAAAGAATATTTAAAAAAAAAAAAAAAAAAAAAAGAATAATTAAAAAAATAATATTTAATATTAAAAATTTATAAATAATCTTGATATATAACACTTTAAAAAAAAAAATTTTTTAAATGAAAAACATAAAACATTAATACAAAAAAAAAGTAGTTAAGATCAAAAGAATTACTATACCAAATTAATACATTAAAAACGATTAATGCTCAAAAAAGGTAATGGTTATTTTAAAAAACGTAAGTAAAAACTTATTGAAAAAAAATGAAAGCAAAAAAGACGAAATGAAAATGAAACCTTTTAGTGACCCATCTCTAGGTTATTTTAAGATGAAATTCTTTAAATAAGAACGAATATGAATTTATGTAAAACAATTTAAATAAATTTTCACAATTTTATTTTTAGTTTTTTATATTTGAATGATTAAAATTTTAAAAAAAAAAATCTATATTAATTTTAATTTTAAAATTATAGTAAAATCTTTATGCATAAATAAAATAAAAATAGAATATTTTAACAAGATAAAAATACGTAGAAAATAGCTTTTAACAATAAAAAAAATAGGTTTATTATTTGTACGTATATAAATGTATACTTAAGAATAATGTTAAATAGAATAAAATAGATATATATAAAATAATCAAAAAAAAAAAAAAAAAAACTCTAAAAAAAATTTTAATAACTTCTACCAAATAAGCACCATCTTTTAGCTGGTTTTCCTGACCAAAAGCATTTTGTATTTGGTAAAATTGGAGGTTGATCTAAAGGAATACATAATGGTTTCATAGCTCCTGACAAAGTAGTTTCTGTATTTGTTTGATTTAAAGATAATCTCTGAGTTTCTTTTTTTATTTCATCTTCTGTTGTTATATCTTCACACCATGGAGCTAAAATCATTTTTTTTTTATTTAGAGCATCCATAACTTCACTAAAGTTGGTAACTTTAACAATAGATTCATCTAATTTTTTTTTTGCTTTTAAAAATAAGTTTTTATGAATATCAACAAGCATTTGTTGTGCTTCTAATAAAACTGATTCTTTTTTTACGTTCGTTTTTTCATTATTATCCCTTCTTACAAACACACAGGAGTTATTTTGAATATCCTTTGGACCTACTTCAATTCTTATAGGTATTCCTCTTAATTCCCAATGATTAAATTTATATCCTGGGGAGTATAAACTTCTATCATCAAATATACAATTAATTTGTGCATTTTTTAAGACTTTTTCAATGTCTTTACAGTATGAGTGTACTAAATTTTCATCTGTATTTTTATAGAGTATTGGCACGATAACAGCTTTATACTTAGAAACGTTTGGAGGCAATACTAATCCTTTATCATCTCCATGAGTCATTATCATAATACCTATCGATCTGGTGGTGCATCCCCATGAAGTTTGATGAACATATTTCTTTACTTCATTTTCATCTTCAAATTCAATTTTAAACATTTTTGCAAAATTTGAACCTAAATAATGAGAAGTAGCCGCTTGTATGGCTCTTCCATTTTCGCTTATAAAAGCTTCAGCAGTTGAAGTAAAATTTGCTCCTGCAAATTTTTCTCCTTCACTTTTTAATCCTTTTATAATTGGAACAGCTAAGTATTCTTCATACCATCTTCTATACAAATCTAATATATCAAAAACAAATTTCACTGCTTCTTCTTCATTCTTATGAGCGGTATGACCTTCTTGCCATAAAAATTCTCTTGTCCTTATAAAAGGTGTTGGTTGCTTAAATTCCCATCGAACGACAGTGTTCCATTGGTTTAATTTCAAAGGCAAATCTCTATGAGATCTAATCCATTTAGAAAAGGCAGAATACATTATTGTTTCACTCGTTGGTCTAATTGCTATTTCTTCAGGTAAATTTGAGTCTCCATATTTAGTTACCCATGCAACTTCTGGACTAAAACCTTCAATGTGATTTTTTTCTTTTTCTAACTTACCTTTTGTTACAAATAATGGAAAATATGAATTCTCCACACCTCGTTTTTTGATTTCCTTATCAAAAAATGATTGTACACATTCCCATATATAGTAAGCTCCAGGTCTTAATATATAACAGCCTGAAATATCATAATACTCTATTAATTCACTTTTAACTATTACTTGAGTGTACCAATCTGAGAAATTTTCCAGTTTTTTTGAGGTAATTCCTAGCAAATTGTACTCTTTTGATTGATTATCAAATTTATTATTTACTTTCAAATTTAAGCATGTTTCTTCATTGTTTTTTTGATTATCTATTTTTATTTTTTCTTCTTGACCGTCTTCTTTTTTTATTTTTTCTTCTTCAATTTTTATATATTCTGGAGAATGGTTGTGTATATCGCAAAATTTTATTACATCTATTTTTTTCATGTACAAACTACTGTAGTTATGCAATGGGTGAATTATTATTTCATCCATATTTTTCAACTCTGCGTCAAAATAAAGTTTTACAACATTATCTTTATCATATTTCATTGCAAGAGGAGTGAGGCATCCTGGTAGTAAATTTAAAATATTTTTTAAATTTTTTTCATCAACAAACCTTAAGTTAGAAGTATTTAATGCATTAGCTAAATATTTTAAGTCAACTGTTTTCGAATTTAGTGTGCATATGAAAAAAAATTTTTTTTTTTTATCTTTTAAAAATAAATTTTTTATAATATTAGTTGAATTATCTAAATTCATTTCTAATAAATCCTTAATAGTATGAGCTACTCCATGTTTTACTTCTCTGTAATTTATATTTAATTCTTTAAGTTCTTTAAATAAAACTTCCGACTTCTTCAACTCTTCTTCAGGTATATTAACTTCACAGCTGGTATTCATGTTTTTAAATGAAATAGTTTTTTTTATTATTTTTAAAAAATTATTATTTTTGAACTTTGATATACCCTTTAAAAAATTAATATTCAATGTCATAAATTAATCATGATAATATTAAAAAGAAAAAAAAAAAAAAAAAAAAAGATGAAGTTCAATGAAATAAATTGTATAATAAAAATGTAAATGTTCAACACTTTACAAAATTTATTATATAATAAATTATTTAAATATAGGATATATTAATATGTAAATTAAGATTATAAGAATAATTACAATATAATGAATATATAGTTATAATTTAGATAAATAAAAGAATAGAAAATAACTAAAATATATATGTTTTTTAATCAATGTCACAATTTTGGAAAAGAAAAAAAAATTAAATAAATAAATAAAAATATAATAAAATTAATGATTAAGTTACAAATATGGCAAACAACTGTTTAAAAAAATATCACTAATATTTTTATATTTTTAGTTTAACAAATTAAAAAAAGAAAACTTTTAGATATAATATAGTACAATGATTTAATATATGCATAACTTATCTTGCAATTAAATAAAAAACTTAATCTTTAAAAAAAAAGAGGAAAAATAAAAAAATAATCAAATATGTATATGAGTACTGATTTTTTTTTTTTTTTTTTTTTTTCTCGTGTATTATATAAAAATAAAATAAAATAAAATAAAAAATGGAGAAATATTTAACATGTTAAATGGTATCTTTAATTTTTTATAGTAGAAAAATAATTATGCTTTTATTTTTTTATTATAAGCATACATGCGCATTTTACTTTTGTCCTAGTATTGAAAAGATAATTATGCTAAATTACTTTTATTGTAACCTTTTTTTTTAACTAAGTGAAATCAGGTTTATTTTTAAGCTAAACAAAAAAAAAAATGAAATTATAATTAAGAATAAGAACAAAATTAATAATATTAATATATGGAGTTTATAATTAGCATACTTTTAATTTCACTAGCTGATAATGTTTAATAAATAAAATAGAATAATTATTCATAATACTTATGAAAAAAGATATGTCATATAACAAGTATGCTACTATATGAAATAAATTCTGTTACACATATTTAGATGTATATTTATGTTTTTAATTTTTATAGTAGTTTCATAAAATATTTTTATTTCTATGATATTCTAAGAACAAGAAATATATAAGCAGAGTTAATGTACGTTATGTTTTCAACCATATAACTACATTATTTAATTTTTTTTTTTTATATAGTAAATATATTTTAGTATGTAGAAGAAAAGATAGTAATCCACTATGAACAGCAATTATAATATAATTATGTGACAAAAAAATAATATTATTTTAATTATATAAAATATTAAAAAATGAATATTATATGTAAATATATGTAAAAAACTAAATGACATAATAATGAAAGAGGATATGTAAATTACGTGAATGTATATATGTATACTAAATAAAATATAAAAATATTTTTTTTAGAGGAATAAATAAAAAGTTTCATTATCTATGTAGGTAAAAGACAAAGTATAAAATAACAGTTTAAAATATTGTACTAATGATAAAAATACGAATTTTTTTTTTTCATTTAAAAACCATTTAAATGAAAAGAAGTCTCAGTATATGTTATGTAATTATATACTTTCCTTATAAGTAATTTTTAATATTAATTCTTATCATTTTATATATATATATATATATTTTTCATATATTATATTATTCTTCTGATAACCACTTTGCAAATGCTTTTAAGCGTTCATTATTTTTCAAATAATCATCTGATCCATTTTTTTCCATCCATCTGTATTAATAAAAAAATATATATATCAATTAATTAATAAAAACGAATAAAAAATAATTTAAAATTTCATACATATTAATATATATTAATTCTTTTTTTCTTTTTTTTTTTTTTTTTTTTTTTAATTTACTCATTAAAATAATTAAATTCAAATATGTCTGAATGGTATATATATTCAAAGGCATTACATAATTTATCTGATCCATATATGTTATTTTTTATATTATTAGTTAAAAATTGTTTTTTTGAAAAATTTAATATTAAATCATAGATGGTTTCGTAATATAATTGATTATCTAATATAAAGGATGAAAATAATAAATCTAATTTAGAATTATCAAAACTTTCTACCCACGTGTTTTTGTCAAAATTAATTTTATTAATGAATTCCCAAACAACTGGAAAGAAAGATATGATAACATCTAAATCTGTATAATTTAAAGAAAGTCTAAAACTTTTCATTTCTAAAATTTTGTGACTCATAAATTGAGGTTTTTCAAGAGCTTCTTTACATAATATACATATTTCTTTTGTAAAAGAATTTTTTTCTTTTTCTTCATTTATATTACTGAAGTAATTGTTTACATTATCTATATTTACAGAATCGTTATTTATTTCATCTTCTTTACAACTTATATTATCATCACTAATTGTCTTATTATTTTTAGAAACGGAATAGTCTGAATAATCACTTTCTTCTAGTGAATCATTATCTGAAGAAGAACATGGAATTTTTATATTTAAATAGTTTTGCAAATTTCCAATTAAAGAAAATAACCTTAATTGGTCATCCGAATATTTTGTTTTAACTATATAATTATTTATTTCAAATGGTTCAGAATTTAAAATATTACAATTATTATTCTCTTGATTTATATGATTTTCCTTATTTTGTAGATCATCTTGAAAATTTGATTCATTATTTTTATTTTCATCATTTTCTCTTTTCATATTTTTATTTAAATCTTCCTTTTCATTATTTTTTTTTAATTTCATTTTCTCTTTTAAATATTTATATACACTTAATCTCATGTATTTGTTTATTTTAATATTACAAGGTATATTCATGTTTTTTCCTATAATACAGCATTCATCTATAAAAACATTATCATTTATAATAACATTTTCACTTATATAAGAACTTAAAATAACTACATTATCTTTTATTATAGAATTTCTACCTATGATACTATTTACAATTCTTACATTTTTTCCTATTTTACAATTCTTTCCAATTACTGAATTTTCAATAGTTGAATTTTCTAGTATTTCACTATGACTTTCAATTAATACTATTTTTAGTAGTTTACATGAGTGATCAATGATAACATTTTTTGATTTGTATACACCAGGTTCATTATAAATAACCTTTGGGAATTCTGGGAGAAGATAATTAGCATTTGAAAAAAACGGATGAACATTTCTTTCAATTAACTTTTTAAAAAAATTGAAATAAATTCTAAAATCTGACAAGGTAGTTATTATATTATTACACTCTGTGTAGTTATAATCATCATTTAATTCGTGTACATATATTTCTTCTAACTTAATTTCTTGATTTAATATATTATAAATAAAATCTTTACGCATACATTGATAATCAAAATTATCTTCAAATAATTTGAAAACTTGAGGTGTAATAATAAAAATGTTAGGCAATGTTAAATCATATGCAATTCTTATAGAATCAGTTAACGTGTTTTGATTATGAGAATTATTAGTTGATTCTTTACTATTTATGTTTAAGTTTTTTTCTTGATTTTTGTTATTTTTTTTTTCTTTAGTATTTATCTCATTCAATATTTCTTTAGTTAAAATTAAATTATTTTTGTTTTTTAAAGGTTCAAATAACAAAAGTTTGAAAGTAAAGTTATCATAAGCAATTACATAGTCATCATTGAGTGATCTATTTTCATATGTATAATGAGATAATATAAGAGTCATTATCTGATTCTTGCATTTTTCTTTATTAGTAAAATGAGCTTTAATAATTTCTTTTATATTAGCCACTGGAACAGTATCAGAAAGTAATAATAAAATGTCGTTATATATTTCTACACATTTTTTAAAATCTCTTAATGCATCTCCTAAAGTTTTTATTTTTTTATTCATTTTAATTACTTCAATATCTAAGTCACTATATTTTTTTTTACTCTTTTGAAACTTTTCAATATAATTTAATAATTCCTTTTCATGATGAGTTACAACTACATATATTTTTTTTATATTATTTTGTTTGAAAAAGTGTAATTGGAAATCAATTAAGCATACCCCATTTAAAGGCAAAAAAAATCTTAAACTTTCAGTAGTTAACGGATCATATATGTCATCAAAATTATTTTCAATTAATAACCCTATTAAATTTTGCTTTTCTTCTCCATAACAAATGTTAAAATCAATTTCTTTTTTCATTTTTAAGAAAATATAAATTTTATTATTATTAATATTTTTTGCGTATGTATATATTATTAATCTATTTTTTTTTTTATCTTTTTTGACTATCTTATTACAGTGAATTATGCTTAATATTTTTAACAATACTTTCTTTTTTTTCAAGTATATTTTTTATATGTTCTTTATATGTATGAACATCTTAATCATAGAAATGTTTCTTTTAGTAGAATCTTTTTAGTATTTCTTTTTTATAATTTTAAAAAAAAATTGTAAAAACGTACGTATCAAATAAGGTATATCATAACAAAAAAAAAAAAAAAAAAAAAAAAAAAAAAAAAAAAAAAAAAAAAAAAAAAAAAAATAAAAAATTGAAACATTAAAAATAAAAAAAATTAAGTAATCTTAAAAAAAAATTAATTTCATAAAAAATTAATTATTCAATTTAAAAATTTCAAATATAATTCAAAAAGAATAACAAAAATTAATTTTTATTTAAAAAAAATTAAAATTTTATTAAAATGAAATTAACCAATTTAAAAAAATACATCTAAAATAATTTGAAGTTGAAAAAAATCAAGTATATACTTATATATACACCTATTTAAGCACATATTAACAGAAAGTTAAATTATAACATTTAACATTTTTTAAAATATAAATTAAAAAATTAATTATTAATTAAAGTGTAAGAGTGTATAAATATTTATATAGATATGAACTAAAAAAAAAAAAAAGAATAAGATAGTATGAATAGAATTAAAAAATTACATGTATTTTTAATAAAAAAAACACTTTTTTAATTTTACATAATTTCAATATAAGCATTATTTACGGAAAGTAATTGTTATCAAAAATATCAAGAAAAACATTTTCTATATGTAAAACTAATCATATTTAAAAGAATATATATTTTTAATAATAACTATATAATATTAATAATAGAAATTATAAAATCCTAACAATATTTAATAATTTAATATGAATAGAAATTTAATAATAATTTTTTTTTTTTTTTCTTAATAAATTTATTTATTTTTTGTTTTGTAAATTTTGAAACCATACTGGATCTTTTAACCATATTGGTTTATTTATAATATGAGGAATATTTTTCATAGCTGGTGTGTCTTCTTTTATATAATCATATAATTTATTTCTGCAATTTTCTAATTTTAAATCCAATTTTTTACATAATTGTAATTGTTCCATTTCTTCTCTAAAAGGAAAAATTAATAAACATATATATAAGTATATCCATATATAATTTATAGCATTCAGAAAAAAGGAAATAGCAAAATTAACAAAAAAAAAAAGCACATAGAAATATTTTAAAGTATGTAATTTACAGTTAATATTTTTAAAATTAATAATATTTAATATATTCTTATTAATATATTGTCTTTTTTTTTTTTTTTTCTTATTTTTTTGTTACTCATTTAAATATGCACATTCGTAGCGATATTGTTTTGCTACATTATAGCAGTGCCAATCTTCATTTTCATTATTTGAATCTAATATTTTATTAGTATAAAAATCAACTGCTTTTTTATTGGCCAAATGCCTTCTGGTTGTTATTCCCATAAGTAAAATCATGTTAAAAAAAAAGCATCCATATACAACTTTCGCAGTCCTACTTAATTCCCTCCAACCTTTTTTAATTTTATCATATTTAAACATTTTTTTTTTTTTTTCTTTTTAATAATTTATTTTGTTTATATAATATAAATTTAAAAAATTATATATATAATGACTTTTAAACTTAATATTCTTAACACAAATAGTTTGAAATTAAATGTATCTACCACAAAAAAAAAAAAAAAGAAAATTTTGTTTTTTAAAGACAAAATTATATTAAAATAAACTAAAAAAACTTTCAAAAATTCTTTTTTTTAATGAAATTTTTGAATAATTTTTTTTTTTTTTTTCCTTTAAAAATATTAAATTCTTTTAAAAACTTACATAATATTTAAAATTATTTTTTATTATTAGTATTTTTTTTTTTTTTTTTTTTTTACTTTGTTTTGAAGCAGTTAATTTACATTTTAATAAGATTTTACATAAAATTTGGTTTATGTTTTTATTTTAATTTTTAATAAATATTGCAAATATTATTATTTTTTTTTTTTTAGTATATATATTTAAATTTATTTTATAATTGCAGTTAACAAAGTAATTTATTTGTTATTAAATTTTTTAGTCATTAAATTTTTCTATTAAGAAATTTAAAAATACATAAAAATTTGGTTTTTATAATGTATATTATTTAGTATTTATTTTATTATATTTTTTTTTTTTTTTTTTTTTTTTTTTTTTTTTTTTTTTTTTGTGTATATTTATTAATACATACAAATAAATATCTTTATAAAAAAAAAAAAAAAATGAAAAATAATATATTTGGTAATATATTGACAAATCATATTATAATTTTTTCAGTTATTTTATTAGTAAATTTGTTAATATTTTTTTCTTTTATTAATGGTTTTTTATATTCAAGACAAGGGATTACAAATAAATCGGAAGACCTTGAAGTATTTTGTAGAAAGGTATTTGGAGATGAATATATAGAACCTTTAAAAAAAAAAAAAAATTTATTTTCTATTATTAATGCACCATATGATAGAGTTGTTATATTATTAATAGATTCTTTAAGGTTTGATTTTATGCTTTATGATCCAAATTATAATAAAGAAAAAGAAGATGAAAATGAAGATGAAAATGAAGATGAAAATAAAGATGAAAATAAATATGAAAATAAAGATGAAAAAGAATATAGAAATAGAAAAATAGACAAAAATAATAAATTACATGAAAGGAAATTTTTTTTAAATAATATGATGAATTTACATAATATTTTAAAAAAGGAAAAAAAAAATTCTTTATTATTTCGGTTTGAAGCTGACCCACCTACTATTACCACTTCAAGATTAAAATCTATTTTCATGGGATCAGTGCCAAATTATATGGATGTTAATGAAAATTTTAATCCTACTCCTAATGTTCAAGATAACTTTTTTGAGCAACTAAATAAAAATAAAAAAAAAATTGCAGTTATTGGTGATGACACCATTACACACTTAATCAGAAATTTAACGAAAGAGTTTGTCTACGAAAGTTTCAACATTTTCGATTTTTACTCTTTAGATATAGCATCAAAAAAACATTTTTATGAAGAATATTTTTTAAACTATTGGGACTTTATGTATATTCATGTCTTAGGTGTTGATCATGTTGGACATATAAAAGGACCTAATTCTAAAACGATGAAAAACATTTTAAAAGATTTTGATATGTTTATATACGATATTATTAATAAAATAAAATTAGAAAAAGAAAAAAAAACTCTATTTTTAGTAATTGGAGATCATGGACAAATGGATTCTGGTGATCATGGTGGAAGTAGTATAGATGAAATAGAAAGTGCCTTATTTGCATATTCACCACTAGATTTTATTTCTTTAAACAAAAATATAAACCAAAACAATTTTATTTTTTATGATAAAGATTCAACAGAAAAACCTTTTTTTACTAGTAATATAAACATAGAAGGATATAAAAAATATCATTCATCTTTAAATAATATCAATAAGATTAACACTTATTATTATAATGTTAAACATACAAAACAATTAAACTTAATTAGCACTCTATCTTTGTTAATGGGATCAACTTTACCTTTTTGCAACATAGGGAATGTTATTTTAGATATGATTCCTATAGCATACATAAATAAACATTCTAAATTAAAAGATAAAAAAAAAATAGAAAATAATATAGAAATGAATACTAATGAAAACAATAATAATAACACAAATTATATTAAAAATGATGATTTAGATAATCATTCTGATTTATATTATGAGTTATTAAGCTTACATTACATAGCAGAGTTAAATTATGCCAATTTATGGCAAATAAATAGATATTTAAATACTTACAAAAAAAAATATAGAATATTAAATAATAAGGATTATTATTATATTAAAAGTACATGGAAGAAAATAGAAGAGGAGAAGTCTCATTTTTTTACACCTAATAAAGAATTTGTTGACGATGAAGAAATATTAAAAAAAGAACAAATTGAGTATATAGAATATATAAATAAAATGAGATATTTAATGGATTTTACTCAAAAATATTTTTATTCTATATTTACTTTGAAAAGTCGTTATTTTTTAGTTTTATGTTTCTTTATAATTATTTATTTTTTTGTAATATTTAAAATTTTTTATTATCATTCTAAATTGAATTATTACCATAACACAATTATAAGGAATAGCTATTTTTTTATAATAGCATTATTTATCTTATTAATGCCTTTTAATTCATATAATAAGAATATATATTTATTATTTTTTCCATGTGCATTTATTTTATATTTTGTAACTCATATTTTATTAAAAAATAAATATGAAGATTTTTTTATGTTATTCACCTATGCAAAAATAATTCTAATGCTTAATAATAGTTTGTTGCAAGAAGAAGACGTAAAGGAAAATAAGAAAATAAAAGAACAAGGCAATGTAAGTGTTATGAATAATGATAAAGAGACAAAAATTAACGAAAATAACGGTCATTTATTTCTGAATTTTATAAAATTAATAAGGAAATGCATAAATAGAATAAAAACAAAAAATGCAAAACCTAATGAAAATATACAATGTAAAGTAAATGATTTTAAGGAGAATAAAACTTTTGTGTTTCATAATATATTTAAAGTATTAAAAATATTTTACACAATTAAAAACAAATTTCTTGATATATTGATAAATAATATATTTTTTATATTTGTTATTATTTGGAGTTCGTTTTTAGTATCCTTTACTTATATACACAAAGAAAGATACTACATTCACCTTATCTTATTTATTTATGTAATTTGTTGCTTATATAAATGTAAAAGTAAATTCGATTTTATACTCTTCAGGTAAAAATATATTATTTATTAAAAAAAAAAATAAAATAAGAAAATAAGAAAATAAGAAAATAAATAATAATATGCTTATATAAATCTTAATTATATATTTTTTTTTATAAATATTTATTTTTTTTTTTTAGAGGATGTCCCTTGCTAATTATTTTAATACTTAATATAATATTTACTTTTACTTCTGACTTTTTTGATCATAACACAGAAAAAGTTTTACTAAATAAATTAGAGTTAAAAATAGTATTCCCCATTTCTTTTTATTTTCTAAGTGTAATATTAATAAATAGTGGTATAAATAAAATGTTACGAAAAAATATTAAATATACGATAATTCAAATATGGACATTACAGTTTGTTCTTGTTTTTATATTTTTACTTAAATCAAATGAATATATTAACTTTTTAGTTCCTCCATTTATTTATTTTTTGACTTTTTCACTTTTTATATTTATTTTATTAAGAAAAAGTAGCATAATAGAAAAAAAAGGAATATCTGAAACTATTCAAAAAATGTATGAGGTTTCTATTAGTTTATTTATAATTCTTTTTTCATCACTTCAATTATCTCTTATTATCTATAGTAATACAAATTTAAGTGTTTTGCTCCCTTTTTATATAACATTAGTATTTTTTTTCTTCTTTTTTTTAAGTGTTGACAATTTAGAAGATAATAAAAATAAAATTAATATTGCAATTAACTGGATTAATGAAAACAAGGATATAAAAGTATTTAATAAAGAGGATAAAAATGATTTTGAAACATACCCTGTAAATACATCAATTAAAGAAAAATTTTTTCTTAAACTTGAAATAGAAAAAAATAATATATTAGACAAATGTAATTTAGTGAATAAAGCAGATGTAACACAAATGCAAATTTATAAATTAATTAAAAACTTATCATTCTATTTAATTAACGAGACTGATTTTTATATTTTATGTTCTATACTTTTAAAATACTCTTTTTTTATAACTGGTCATAAACTTGTTTTTAATAAACTACCTATAAGTTCAGCATACGTAGGATTAAATAAGTATGTGTGGCCATTATGCCAGTTTTATTTGTTTAATCACATTTTCTTTCCTTTTATATTTTCACTTTTTTTTGTCATTTATATTTATAATTTGAGAAAGATCAAAATTATGCTTATATTTAAGGAATTAGATTTTTATAATTTTTATTTTTATCCATTGATAAATTTTTTATTTAAGTAAGTGAAATACTAAGATAACAAAAAAAATTCTATACATGTATATTTAAATAATTATAATATATATATATATATATATATATATATATATATATATATATATATATACTTTTTTTTTTTTTTTTTTTTTTTTTTTTTTAGAATTCTCTTTTTGTTTTGTTCCAAATTTATTGTTTCTTTATTGGCATCATTTTATTTAAACATGCACATTATGGTAAATAATTTAAAGAAGATAAAAATAACAAAAAAAAAATTAATAATATATAATTACATACTTAATTTACTCATTTTTTTCAGCTTAACGATTATTTTCTGCCAAACTTCTTTTATATAACAGTTATTAATATCCTTTTTATATCATTTTGTTTATTGATATTATCAATAACTAAATATATTCTCTTAAGGTAATTTTTATTTTTGGGAAGGATAAAAAATTTTGTTCATCGCATTTTCTTTTTTAAAAGGATACCAATTCCTGTCCTTAAAGAAAAAAAAAAAGAAAAAATTATCAACATTAAATTAAAATATTATAGTAATTATAATCATAAATAATGATTAACAGTTTAGTCTTTTTCACATAAATACCATCTATATATTTTATATTTCTTTTCTTTCTTTTTATTCGAATATTTTTTTAAGTATTTTATTGGTTTAATCTCTAAATTATAGTTTTTTTAATACATATATATATATATATATTTAACGTTTGAATTGTATTTAAATTTTATTAGTTTTTTATATATTTGCTTTTTAATTTATTTTATTACTTTTTTAATACTTTATATTTTTATTTCTTTCTTAACATCAAAATTAGTTATGTATTTGAATTTTTCTTTTTTCAATGTATATTTAAGTTATTTCCATATTATTTTAATTTTTCTTTATAACTATTTTTATTTCATTATAATTTATTATTTATTTTATTTTTTTTTTTTTTTTATGTTATATATATAAACTTACATTCCACCAAGATTCTCCATATGAAATAAAAATTTCTTCATTTTTTTGTATGTCTTGTTCAGCATAAAATATCATAATTTTATTTGAAGTAACTGTTTCCTAAAATTGGAAAATATAAACTATATTAAAAAAAAATAAAAAACTAAAAATAATAATAAAAAATTGTTATGTTTACTTTATTTTGATTAATAGGAAAAATATGAACAAATGCATTAGGTGTATTAGAATGATTATATAACATTCCATATCCTAAAGGTAAAAGTTTATTACGTTTTGTTTCCTTTTTTTTTGTTAAAATGTCAACTATTTTTTTATTTATATTTCCCTTTTCACTTTCAAATAAGTAATCTACTAGAATTTTTGGCATTTCCTCATTTTCTATTTCTATTGTTGGGCATACTTCAATTATTTCATTTTTTTTTAATATATCAAAAGAAAAAACTCCTAAACCACTGTAAATAGAATTACCAATGTATACCTTTTTATGTATATCATTAAAATTAATATTTTCTTTCTTCAAGATTTCTTTTAAAGCATTTTTAGCAAAATAATTATGAAAATTTCTTTTAACGATAATCATCCATAAACAAATTAATGTTATAAAAAAAAAAAAAAAAAGAAAAAAGATTATTTAATTTATTATGGTATAATATTTATTTTTTAAGAGTCAAATAACAAATGATCTAACTCAAACACATTTAATTTTTTCTTATTCTATGTACAATAATAATGAAACAATATTTATATGTTTCTGATAATTTTTTTAATATCATTCTTTTTATTTGTATCCAAAACATATTAACTTATTTTGCATATATTGCATATTCTTCAACTTAAAATTTATAAGAGAAAAATTAAAAAAAAAATAAATTTAAATTTTTTAAATATGTATCATTAATTTATAACTCATTAAATATAAGTTACACCTTTTTTAAGAACATATATTTAATAAATTTTTTTCATATTAATTCATATAATTAAAATATCTAATTCTCTATTTTATTTTTATATATATTATATATATATGTATATATCCTTTGTTTGTAAAAATATATACATGTTTATTAAAAATATATTCATGTAAATAAAAATTAAAAAAAAAAAAAAAAAAAAAAAGCTGTATGAAACATTTTAAATAAAAAGATAGAAAACATATTTTTCATATATTTTTAATAAATAAAATTAATTATTTTCAATCCAAATTATAAGTAAATTTTAAAATAAAAAAAAAAGGAACATTTATATTTTAACAAAAATTAATTAAGTATATGAATAGGCATTGCAAAAGATACATGTACATTTTTTAAATTACTTAAACTTTCCTCTAAATTCTTAGGGATTATAGAATTATCAAAAAATAAATATCTTTCATTTTTTTTTTTCTTATAATAAACATTGTAATAAATAAGAGACAAAGCACAGATTGAAAAAAAACTGTGAAATTGATCTGTTTCTCTAAAAATCATATTTTCACTAACAAAATAACTAAAATTTTGTCTTTTTATATTATTTTCAGTTTGTTCAATTCTTGAAAATCCTCCATTATTTTCATCTTGACATTTCAAAATATAATCTATCAATATATTTATATTAAATAATTTTTTAAGGCTTTTTTTTAAAGCAACTAAACTACTCAACACCCACCATGCATAGCAAACATCGTGATCTTTTCCAACCCTCCCATTAATACCGTAATTCTCATATCTATCACATAACCATCTAAAAAAAAAATAAAATGATTAACAAAATAAATAAAAAATCCTTCAAATATTTAGAAAGTTTACATATAAATAAACAAATTCAATTTTAGACAAAAAAAAAAAAAAAAAAAAAAAAAAAAAGGGGTTAATGTAAATAAAAAAAAAAAAAAAAAAATTTCTGTAAATTTTTATTAAATATATATAAACCTAATTAATTTTTTCTTGGAAATTGAGTTATATGAAAAATAACTTTTGTTATTTTCGTCTTTTAAAAAATTTAATGAATTTATTGCACAAAATGTTGTCCCAGCGTGTGATTCTGAACCTGGATAATTTGAAAACCCCCCATCTATATTAAAACAGTTGATTATCCAATTTACACATTTATCTTTATTGTTAAATATATTAATATATATGTTTCTTTTTTTCAAAATAAGATTAATAAGATGTAAAGAAGCTAAAGAACAAAACATAAAACGCATATCACCATCAAAATGATATCGTAGACTACTTAAAGAAAAATGAAAAAAACCTTTTTCTTCATTAAGAAGAAAGATTATAAAATTACATATTTCTAATAATACCTTTGTACTTATATCATTTTCACTTATTTTATTTAATAAAAATAATATTTGAATAGCACTTAAAGTAGAAATAACATTTGGCTCATATAAATACTTTTTGTTACATGGAGAAAAACCTCTTACAACAAATTTTATTATATTTTTCTTTTTTTTGTATTTTTCTGAATTTTTATTATATATTCCATTAGATACATCACTTTTTAATTCATTATTATTTATCTCGTTACATTCTTGATGATCATACATATTAGAATTATTTGTATTACTATTTTTTTCAACAAAATCTATATTTAATGAAGAAAAATTAATTCTCTCATCTTCGTATTTTTTTATATTTTTATAATCTATTTTATTATAATCATTTTCAGTTGAATTTATTATTTTATCAATATCTTTATCTGAAAATAAATATTTTTCTTTTTTCAAATTATAAATGTATTTTTCTTTTATTTTTTTTTTTTGTAAGCACTGCATAACTAATACATATATGATATCTATTATTTCTTTTTTTAGTATTTCATGTAAACTCTTTCTATTCTTATTAATCATTAAAAGACCACTTAAAACCCAAAATATCCCATTCAGAAAAATGGATTCATGCTTATTAGATAATTTTTTTACATTTGATTTATTTGATAAATTTTCAATTATTGTATTTAAAAAATATTTTTCATGCAAACTTAAGTGTAGTTCCATAATTTAAAATAAATAAAATTAATCATAAAAAAAAAAAAAATAAAATAAAATAAATTATATATACAAAATAATATTAAAAAAAAAAAGTTACACTATTAAAAATAAAAGTTTAAAAAATGTAAAGTATGTCATATGTTAATGTCCAGAATAGAATAAAAGACTAAAAAAAAAAAAAAAAAAAAAGAAATAAAAAAAGAAATGTATGGATTTTAATATTTCAAATATTTAATATAAATTTTATAATTAAAATATGTTATATATATATATATGAATAAATATATATGTATATTTACTATTAATCCACTGAAAATATCCCCACATAAAACTTCTGATTTTTTCAAAAAAAATGAATTAAAATTATTCTTAATATGAAAATATGTCATTAATGTACCTATTAACGTAAATAAAATAAAAAAAAGAAAACCATAAATACCTTGAATTCCTAATATTCCAACAGTAATTCCACTAATTATTCCATAAAATTGTTTGCTTAATATTAATGAATGTTGATTATGTTTTATTTTATGTTCATCATATTTTTTATCTTCTAAGAATTTTAAGTCTAAATTATTCATTAAATTAACTTCATCTTCCTTATTGTTTATTTTTTTTTCCATTATTATATAAAAAAAAAGGATAAATTAAAAAAATAAGATTTATTTACTACTTTAAAGTTAGAAGGAATATAAGAAAAATATTTTAATATGTACATATAAAATGAATGACAAAAAATACATTTAAAAAACAATTACACAATTTGTAAAAAGTTTAATAAAAGTACATATTTTTAAAAAAGTAACAATTTAATTAAAGTTATTCTCTTTAAATTAAAAAAAATTATTAAACATGCATTGTTAAAAATATATATCCTTAATATTTTTTAAAAAAAAAAAAAAAAAAGTTTAAAAAAATATATATATGTACATTAAAACACAAGTTATTTATTAAATCTTAAAAAATACTAAAATAAAAAATTATAAAAAAAGTTAATGAAATGAAAAAAGCAACTTTTTAATTTTAATTTTTTTAGAAATTATTGAACATTCTTTCATTTTTATACAATTGTAAAATATTGTTAAAATAGTTATTCTTTAAACAATCTATAAAATCTTAAAATATCCCACAAAAAAAGGTGTTATATTTCTTTTTCAAATTATTTAAAATAATAAAAAAAAATAAAAAATTTAAAGTTATATTTAATTTTTAATATTATAAACAACACAATTATGTTTTCCTTGTGTTTAAGGATAAAATAAAAACTTTATTTTTTTATTTTTATGGTTATTCCTAATAGAAAATAGTAATTCATTAAGTAAAATACTTTTTTTTCTATATGTGTAGATACACATATATTTTATTATTATTCAAATTTTTTACTTATTTAATGTATAGTTATTACGATTTATCAATTTAAAAGGAATATAATATATAGTTGTACTTTCATTCATATTAAAAGTGTGTTTATAAATTTTATCATGTTTTTGTGAAAGTGATAATTTATTCTTAAATTAGTTTCCTCTTAACTTTTCTTTCATTTTCTTATACTAGAGTGTTCATTTTTTATTTCATTTTTTTTTTTTTTTTTTTTTTCTCTCTTTATGCAATAGATATGTTATTTCTCAATTGTTGTTAAAAATGTTTAAAATACACTGTATATATTTATTTATTCATTTTTATTTTTTAGTCTACATAAAATGTGTTTTTTCTTATTCTTATGATAAGGCTAATTTGGATAACTGTTCTAGTATATTTTGTTCATATGATAAATTATCAAATATATATAAAAATTCTAAATTTATATTAACTGAATTAGAAAATTTACTATATGATGTAAGAGATGAAAAAACTTCACATCAATTAGGTTCATTTTTTTAAATTCTTTATTTTAAAAAAAAAAAAAAAAAAAAAAGAACTAAAAAAAAAAAAAA